ATACAACATTTTATGAAGGCAGATTGGCTCTGTTTTTTAACCACATCATTCAAATGATCAATAGTTTCATTAATTTGGCAGTTTTGTTTATATGGTAGTTTTGGTTAAGCTGGAGCTGTAATTCCCACTCCCTTATCTGGTGTCTGGTGAGATTGGCAAAAAAGGCGGACAGAAGGGAAGCCGCTGCTCTTTGCCTCTAGAGAGCTTTGCAGTGACTGATGACAGGAATCTGGTCTCACTCTTCTCCACTGCATGTCCAGACCTTGCTGACCAGCAGGGAAGCTGGGCTGCAAACCACAAAAGTAGCTGTACAGAAGCAATGACCTTCCACACTTATCTTCGCCAAAAGCAAGACTCCTTCACTCGCCCTCCTTCCCAGTCTCACTTCAGCTCTTGAATATCCGTACCTGCTCGCATTTGTTCACCGATGGCAGCCTTCCAGGAGAGGTCAACAGTGTTTTTTTTCGGACTCTCTAAATCCCACTTCCGCACCATTGTTTCCCACTTTCTTCCACAGTTTCAAAAGGCCTATTTTTCTATAACAAATTCTTTATTCTACAATATTCATCATTTTGCTGTCCTGATTAAATTCTGAAAATCTGTGTACTCTTTCAACCTAAAATGTGTCTTTCATACAGAGAATGAATTCACCTTGATTTCTGGCCAGTGCGCACTTCTCTTTTCTTGAATACATTGGTAAAAGCAAATGTGTTTTATTTTATCCTCTCTCTCTTTTTTAATTAAGTAGAAACTACAAGTCTAGGGCTCTTAAGGTATAAAATTTGTATAACTTCTGCACACTGCAGAATTAGAACAGTTCTATGAACTTTGAAATCCTGAGTTTACCAGCCCTGACATATTTCCTTGATGAGTTGGAATGACAAGTTTGAGAGTTATTATGAAAAAGTGCTTTAGTAAGACTAGGAAATTTGGCATTCTTAGGAAACTGAGTCTTATACCCACCAAAATGTAACTTGGGAGATTTTTTTTTAAAGCTCCTCTCCCAAAGATTTTGTTCCTAGAGATCTGGATTAGGACCAAGGGATATGAATTTCTCACAACTATCCCAGATAATTCCAATGCATGTGGTTGTGGATTTTTCAGACCTTTATTCAGAATATAGGACTTTCTATTCACCTTTATCAATTTTCCAAAGTAGACAAAAATAGAGGCAAAACTATGAGAAGTACCGCTTTCTCCAAATTTTCTGGACCCCGCAGCCTCTTACTTTGAGGAATTGGCATCTCTACATGTGACAAACACGTAATCTGGTGAATTAAACATGTTAAAAGCAATATTTAATATTAATTGTTAATATTTAATATTAATTGCATTTAATATTTCTAAAAAAAGAGGTCTAAAAACCTTCGAGAGCACTCAAATTCAGAGCATTCAAATTATATCAATGTTTACTGGAAGAATAAGTTGAATTCATGTCAAAGTATTACTTTATTCACTGCATGAGTCTGAATCTCTTGAGGTTTATATACCCGTTACTAAAGAGCAACTTTCCCTGCATAACCCCATTCACATCCCTTCGGGGGAGGGGAAAAATGGAAGAAAGAAAAGAAAAAGAAGCACTTATTTTCTTGGTTAGGACCATGGCACAAAATCACTCATAGGAAAGACATTCCTAGTCAAATGTTTTGGAGTGGGGGAATGGGAGAAGGTATCTCATATACATTGAACCATGCTATTCTTTTTAATATTCTCACGGATTTCTGCACAATGCTGGAATAATTGACATACTTGAATTATCACACATAAAGCAGAAGAGTAAAAATTTGTCTAGAAAAGGAATAAGATAATAGTTATAGTGAATCCTGGTAGCAGACTTCCAAGCCTAGCCAATGGTACTTCTGGAAACAGTCTCTTCCCTATTAACATTCTTTGATAACTTAATAACTATTGCTAATTAAAAACAACTGTTATGGAGGGGTTCTTTCAAAACAATAGATTCCCCTTTTGAAGAAGCAGCATGAGCTCCTCACCCTGGACTGGAGTTGATCAACAGAGATTCACGGCTCTGCATAGCACCTGACAGTACAAAATCACTTTGGAATCAAAGTTTACTTTTGACAGGTAACAGTTTTCAACATGAAACTTCTTTGGCTTTTCTCTCACCCTCACTAAGATGGCTTAGGAGAGACATCCCCCTTACCACCCACGGCGCGCCATGCGGCCTCACCAATGCCTCCCCCCATGGAAGCATGCACGGCTTTATATGGAGAGAACTCTTTTACCCTGTTCATCCTCTGTCCCTCCTCCTCTTTATCATCTTCTTTCCATCTTCTCCTGGAAAACTGACTTAATGGCTTCGTTAAGAGAAGAACGTTAAAGCCAAGAGGAGTCATGAAATGTAGCAAAACTAGGACAGCATTCCATCTAATTAAGATACTCCCTTCTTGATGGAGTCCTCTAGAATAAATGTTTGGAAAGGATTCTGCTTCTTGTGTGCAAAGAAAAACTGATGAAGGCAAGGATTAGAAATGACATTTGAAAGAGTTACATAATTTTTTTTTGTTTTGCACTTTAAATTATTTCAAATAAAATCTCCAATGTTTCCTGGAACATTTCTGAAAAAAGTAAGTATGGGTTTGATCCGATGATGATAACACATCAGCCGTGCTGATAAATATCCACTTACACTTGGTGGTCAGGTGCTCTTAGTTCAGCCCTCCCAGAATAACATGAGTTTAATTAGATGGGCCAAATCTACCTGAATTGATTTGACATTAGATTTTGGTCAGCAAGCTTTTAGGAAAGTGAGGGATACTTTTATTTCATTTTAAAATCTGTGAAACAAGGAAAAGGTTCTTGGTAGAAAATTGAAACACGAATACAAAGTATTTATTAATAACATTTTAAAAGGAAATATCTACCAATCATAGGAACTATTTACTTGTCTTAAAACTTATTTCCTCTCTTGCCAGTTTCTCCATACATTCTAGAAACCCAACACGCGAGTTGGTTTGTTTTTAAGATTGCAGTGTACTGATAACTTTGTGAGTTAAATTTGTCTTTATTTATCTTAACACTCTAGGTCTATAAATACTGTTAAGCCATAGAAACTAAAACTTATATCCAAGAAACCGATTTCCACACTCTTCCTTATTTTTATTAGCACCTAGGAAGAAAGTAATATGTATGAGCTGTGCAAAGGGACAACATGGTAGTAACACAGAGTTCGATATGACAAGCCAAAGATACTGCATCTGTGGCTTATTTCATAGTAACACTCGTGTCCTCAAGCAAGAACTAGGCCTCCTCCTCCTATGAAATCATTCTTCAATAATGAGATCATTTTAAATTACACAAAAATGTTTTTTTTCAATAAAATCTACCCAATGGATGACAAGTTATTACTGCCAATATTGGGGTAACTGTCTCATGGTTTTATAAAATTCATAATCCTCATTTCTACATGTTTAATATCTATCATTAGTTAATACTACCTGCATTATAATTAATATTGGCAATTCTACAAAAATGAATTAGTATCAAATAATAAAACTACTTTAAAAATATCTTGTGATAAAGTTTCTTCTTTTGTATGGAATTAAAAAAAAACACTATTCTTTTGGAACTGAAGTGTAATTGAAAGCTAGAGATGCAAGTACTATATCTGAACTGTATCCCTCACTTTGTAGTGTTAAAAATGTATATGAAGTATTTTTCATAAGAGAAAAAGGAACTGGTGTATATGTGCCATAGGCCTAAGTATAAGAGAAATAATGCAATTAATTTTTTTTTCCACTTAGCAATCAAAGCCATCACCCCTTTCTTACTTGGTTGATCTACTTTTGGTGTTCAACTCTGTGACTGATGTTAAACTGACAATTTCTGTACAACAAGCTAATATTTGAGATGTTACATCACATCACATGAACAGCACAACCACTTCCTGTGTGTCAAAGGTAGAGGGACAAGGCACTGAGTATTGTATGAAGTGATGCATCAATAGAAAACAGGGTAAACTTATTAAAAGATTCAAGATTGCTTCAAACAGATCAAGTTTCATAAACAACTTGTACCTAACTTATACAAAGAGCTAATGTTCAAACAGGCTTCATGATGCAAAATACGCATTATAGAAGAAAAATGATTTTTTTAAAAATAAAATTTTTTTCAGATTAAGATCAATAAATTAATCAATATTCATTGTCTTGCATTTGTTAGCTACTAAGAAGACACATTTACTTCTCTATAATATCTTTCATTTACTTGAAGAGCTGAAGCAACCTAACAACTTGTTAAGGCTGTTTTCCAGATAAGACAATCCAGCCTTGAAACTACTATTACCAAAATGTTATCTTTAAAGACCAGAGTTGTTAGTCTTTCGTTGAAACCCAAATGTTCAGTCTCTTGAAAAATCAATTCTGCATTGACCTGGAAGGGGAATCTGGGATTCTGATGGAAGTTTAACTTAACTTACTCAGGATGATTTCAGAAACAAACCCCCGCCATGGTATCCACCCAACATTTTTAATATGTGAGTTTTCTTAAGTCGTCTGATTTTGTTTTTTCATTCACATAGTCTGCAATGGCAGGAGATACATGGCTCAGGAGGCCACTTCAATTCCTTTCCTTTTGTACCAACATTTTTCTTGATGGGAAGGAGTTATAAAACAACCCAACAGAAGACCATGAAAATGTGCAGATGCACTGGAACGTGATGGGACAGCCCAAGTCCAGTGTTTAATTCTAAACTGCAACATTCCATGATTTTCCAATATTCTGATTCAACATGCACTTTTAACAATCATTTCTAGAACTCTACAAAACAATATCTGGGAAGAGTTCAGCCAATAAAGCAGACAAGTGGTATTCTTCCAACCTCATAAAGTAGGCCTCTGTAAAAGTGTACAAAAACTCTGAATTAAAAAAGAAGAAGGAAGAGGACGTGGGGTGAAATTGACACATGCCTTCTGGCCTCTACCCAAAACCCAGGGAAAGTTGTGACACCAGAGAGGCAACCAACTGCTTGCTCGTTATGGTGATTAGACTGCTGAGTTAGCCAGTTGTGCTTTGTTTTCCTCAATCAAGACTTGTTTGGCAAGTTCATTAGAACTAATTTTCAAGTTCTCTTTTAATTTGTGAAGCTCAAAGTCATGAAGAATCTTGACAGTCATTAACTTTTCTCGCTTGATTCTGTCCAGAACAACTTTTGGAACATCAGGGATCATCCAGGCCAACAAAAATTTAACTAAAAACACAACATGCTGGAAGAAACATAAGAGAAAATCAAGGACACTGTTAGAACTGTCAAATGTTCAGCAGGAAGTTCTTACAAATCACTTCATTCATTCAATAAACTTTGCTCAATACAGAAGGTATCAGGAACAGCAAAAAGATAAGGTTCCTGTCCTGGAACTTTCCCAGAAAGACAGAAAGACAAACATTGAACAAATAAATGCTTATTAAAATGCATAATTACAGAAATTCCAGGTGATCATGGTTATTGAATATACTGTTTAACTGTACTCACTCCTGAAAACCTAATAAGATACTTGGAAGGGAATTTTAAAAAATGGTGTAACTCACAAAGACAAAAAAAAAAAAAAGGAGGGAACAGCGATAACAGATTCAAGAGAGTAAAGAAAGCTGGCACTTCAGCTTGCAATTGATGATATGATGGTGGTAAAACCCAACAAGTCAAAAGCCAACTTTGTTTAGATCTTCAATAGAGTTCAGGAAAAATGGTCCTAAGGACTGTGAAAGCATACCTGTGGGCAGCTAACCAGAGGATTAGCCAACATCTGGTATAAGGAAAAGCTGGAATTTTCAGGACCTCTCTCCCATTGCCATCCAGGTACTACTTCCCTCCAACCTCACCCTGGCAGCAACTGAGTAATTTGTGCAGAAATCAAAACAGAAAGCCATGAACTCAGGAGCACCAGAGACAGTGGAGGATGGAGGAGTGGCGCCATACTGAAAATAGGGCAAGTAAGTGAAATTCAGTGAATCCTAAGATCCTTAGTCATCTTTGTCTCACTCAGGTCTCAGAACACAGGCAGCCGTAAAAGAGCACAACAGAAAGGAGTTTGGAAGACTTTTCTCTGGGGAAAGTAAGTAGTCTGTGAAATTACAATGGCAGATACCAAATTTTGTAGGTTTCAGATGAAAAGGTCCCCTCACTACCTCATCACTCTACAGTGAAACCTGCCAAGTGACATTACTCCTGTAGGCACACAAAGGTTATAATTAGCTTTCACTTATTTGCTCTTAAGTAGAAGCAGATTGCCAAGAATCAGCAGGTATGTAAAAGAAAATATCTAATGCAAAAGAAAAAGACTGAAACAGACAAATAGAAACTAAGAGGAAACAGAGATAATGAAGAAGCAAAACAACTGCAAAACAAAAAGATAAAAATATGAGTTCATCTAAAGGACAGAAAATAATTACAATTTCAAAACAGGAAGTATAACACCTGAGTAATAGAACTTCTAGGAAGACAGAACAGAGAAAAGAAGGAAATAATTCAAAAAATAATATGTACAAGCGAATTTTCTCAACTTGAAGGGTAAGTACCTTTTCAGATTCACAAGGCTCAGCAAGTGTCCAGAAAAATGAATATTATCCAATAATAAGAACTTGTGATTTTTCATAAAAGAAGGACTAGTGAGAGAATCCTTAAAGCTTACTGATTTATAAAAAGATCATAAACAAAGTCTGGGGAATTGGAATTGTATCGCATTTTTTAACAACATTGAAGCAGACAGAAAAAAGAGCACTGTCTTCAAAAATGTCAGGAATAAGAAGAGTAAATGAAACAAGATGGGATTGGGAGGGAGACAAACCATAAGTGACTCTTAATCTCACAAAACAAACTGAGGGTTGATGGGGGGAGGGGGGTTGGGGGGGGTGGGGTTATGGACATTGGGGAGGGGTATGTGCTATGGTGAGTGCTGTGAAGTGTGTAAACCTGGCGATTCACAGACCTGTACCGCTGGGGATAAAAATATATTATATGTTTATAAAAAAAAATGTCAGGAATACCTAAATAAAGTTAGTTGAAAATTTTTCAGGGAAAATGACTTTTAATCTCGAATTCTATGCCATTTAGTCATCTGTGAGGAAAGAAAAAGAAATATTCAATATTCTCAAAAGTTCTCAACAATTGACCACTCATAATTTTCCTCAGAAAATTGCTGAAAAATGCACTTCATCAAAATAAGCTAGTAAACCAAGAATGGGAGAAACACAGACCACAGAAAATCATTTTCAGTACAAGAGAAGGTGAAGAGAAGGTGAAAGTCCCAGTGAGTCAGATGGGCATATCATCACAGATGGTGAGTCAGAGCCTGGCATAATTAAAAACATTAATAAGAATAATAGACAAAAATAAAAAAATCCCAGGTGCAACTGACCAGGGTGAAAGGTGATCTAAACTTACGATGGAAAATATGAGAACAAAAGAGTGATAAGGTCACAAAGAACAAGAGAGAGAAAGAGAGAAGAAAAACATAGGGAAGGATATACATAAGACTGCTCTCTTTTTCATCACATAGAATTTGTATGTGTTTGCAATAGACTTGACTACTACTGAACTTCACGGCAGAGTGAAAAAGTGCCTTCCCTTTATTTCTCTTTCCTTCATTGGCCCTCACGTCTTTTGATATAGAACGTCACCATGAAACTTACCCAAATCCCCCCTCTGTATTTGTTCTCTTTTAATGCATGCCCTATATCTACAATAAGAGTTGATATTCCACAAAGGGGGAAACATAATATAGTGGACAGAGCAGAGGCCTGGGAGGGATATGTAACTGGCATGGAAGCCCAGCTCCAACATTAGCTGATTATCTTTAAACCCACTGCCAATTCTGCTGAGTCTCAGATTCATTTTTCAGGAGTGAACAATAAAGTCTAACCTACAAGGTTATCATTACAATGTCTGGAACCAGTATGTAATAGCTGTTCAGTAAAATCAGTGCATTCTTTGTCCTTTTCCTGACCTCGAGGGAAGAGGCCCTATGTTTTCTTTTCATTATGTCACCTGGATATTTTCAACAATAGTAGGTGAATAATAGGCAACAACACATTGTACTGAAAATATCCCTATGTTGCTTTTCAGGACAACGAATACCTCCTTCAAAACAATTTCCTGAGATAATACTAATTTTCTGCCGAGCAGATACCATTAGAAATCTGGAGGGAGAGGACAGATTAAGTGGAATGTAAGTTAAGGGAGACTTACTTCCATAACAATGATGAAGGTCATCTTGGCAGCGAGGACGTGCCAGTACTGCATATTATGAAAATATTTCTGATCATGATCAGGAGGATACCTGTAATCTCTGTACCTGAAAAACAGAAGTAAATGCAAAAAATTAGCTATCGCTTCACATAGAGACCTAGCGCAAATTCTTACCATTTCTCTTAAGAGACACTTTTAATTTACTACAAAAGTCAAGTCATAGGAAGGTAACTGCCATTATGATACATTTCATTTTTGCACAGATAAAATCATGGCCACATGTTATTTATATATAGTTTGGTGTAGCAGGAGACACAGGTGAAACTTCTATCCTGCCCTTCAAAGTCAAATTTCACAAAAGAGTCAGCAAAATGATTCTGTCTCCATTCGCTCTCTTCCTACTCCTTAACACACTTAGTTCTGTCCACCACTCCACTGAAACGCGTTGTCTCCTGTCATTAAACTGACTAAACATGCTAATCCTTTTTTGATATTTCGAGAACAGGACTTGATATTGTTGACTGTTCTTATTTTTATTTTTTAAACTCTACTTTCTTTTGGCTTATCTGACACTGCATTGTTTTTATTTTTCTTACTATTCTTCTGGATTTTTCTTAGTGCTCGACTTTGTATGCCCACTGTTTTCTGCAAAGTTACTAGACATTGATGTTCTTCAAAGTCCACCTAGGAAGTGATGAAATCAAGAAAATGGACACATGCCCATGCTCATAAACACCATACTATGATTCCTCTATATGCAGATCTAAAATCGAACAATGGTTTGGCTACCTGTATGTCTACCAACATTTTGCTGTCTCTTGCTGTTTCCCAGAAGAAGTAGCTCGCTTAAGGTTTAAGTTAAGTGGTCTTGATGTACTAGATATATATTATATGTATAATCTTTATGTACTATATATATAATCTTTATGTCATATATATTTATCATATATAATCTTTAAATTAGATTAAAAAGACCCTCATAGCACAGGAGATGCTGAGTATGGAAACAGGTTCACAAACCTAATTTCATGCTCTCTGCCTGGAGGAAAACTTTTACATGGGACAGATGGTGAATTTATCATATTATTTCTCCTTTTCTCACTCTATCTCTTTTTAAGAACATATAGTTATATTCAAGTAGGTTTAATGCAGATATATGATCATGGTGTAAATTCAAATAGGTTAAATGCAGATACACTATGATCATGCTGTATGATCTAATAGATATTATTATATCGTGGTGCCAAGGGGCATTCATTGGTGAGATATCTCTCCAATAAATTTAGAAAATAAGAAACAATTCAAAATTGATACTATTTTTATCCATAATATCCTTTTACTTTTGGCCTTTCTACTTTTCCAAATAGTAAAGTCTAAAATCGATGCACTTTACCCAGGATATTTATTGCCCTAAGTAAATCCTTTGTATCTCAAGCCATGGGGGAAATGGAGAACTTAAAAAACACATTTTAAAAAGCAAAATTAAAAGCTAAGAAATTAAGAAGAAACCTGCAAGTGACGAAGTCTCGTTTTTCCGAAGGTGCAGTGTGGTTTGGAAAATCAGCTATAAGGAATGTTGACAGACTGTCATTAACATATCCTCTCATGGGTTCAGTGTCATCCGTTGAGTAGGCATAGTAGTAAACTAAACGGGGAATGATGTCCGATGTAAATGCCACAATAAAAGCCTAAAAGACAAAGCAAGAGGAAAATCTTGAGCTAACAATCTAGTTTTTAAGAAATGTCTGATTTGCATATTTCTCGGTTCCATATGGATGCAGGCAATTAAAATGCTATTACGAGTTACGTTAACATAGGAGTCTTTGGCCTGCAACATGAAATAGTCCTTTTCAAGTTTGTGATTAGTATTCCAAGACTTCCAAGCTAGAGAGCGGCCATGATGAAAACTGAACCTAAATGTATCTGGCTCCAAAAATCATGCTCTTTCCACCATGCCTTGTTATTTCTTACATCTGTTTCACAGCACATTTACACCATCCTTAGCCAAATTCATTTGCCCAAACCAACTCCATAAGCTGGGACCATGAGTGTGCACACATCCGTGCGTGTGTGTTCATGCCCTCGCACTGGTAGGTGGTTGGTGGTTGGTGGGGAGGGGATGGAGAGAGAAGACCATGCGATGGTTAATGTCCCACAGTTCAGTGCAATTAATTTCAATATTTGATTCTACAGGAATGGTATTTTTCCATCCTTCCCCAAGCTCTGGAATGGTATAAATATCATGTTTCTTTTTACCAGGTAAGTCCATTTAAAACCATCTGGCTCTGCCCTCTACATTTTTACTGGTAGGTTCTTTTGTTTAGTTTTGTTAACGATTTTATTTATTTGTTTGAGAGAGAGAGAGCGAGAGAGCAAGAGAGCGAGAGAGAGAGCATAAGCAGGGGGTAGAGGGAGAAGCACACTTCCTGCTGAGCAGGAAGCCCAGTGCCCATGGGGCTGGATTCCAGGACCCTGGGATCATGACCTGAAAAGAAGGCAGAGGCTTAATCACCAGAGCCACCCAGGCGCCCCTTAGTGGTAGCTTTTTAAAAAACTTTTAATACTTTGATAGCTACTGGTCCAATCAGGTTTTCTACCACTTACTGAATAAACTTTGGCAGTCTTTATTTTCTTAAAAAGGTGAGAATTTCAAAAATAGATTTTAAAATTTATTGGAATAAAGGAACATATATCAGTCTCACAATTTTCTCACCTGTATAACTCTTTTTCTTGATGGAGATTTTCAGAGTTCTATTTACTTTATATGTCTTTTCAATGAACCAACTCTTAATTCACTTAGTAATTATACTGCTTTTTATTTGTTTTCCATTTTTGTTATTTCTGATTGTATCTGTATTAATTTTTTCTTACTACTTTCTGTTGATTAGTTTTACATTTTTCCTTACGTTTCTGAACTAATGCTCAGCTCATGCTTTCAAGTCTTCTTATTTTAATAATAAAAGCATTTATTGCTATGAATTTTTCTGTAACTGTGGTTTTAGTTAATTCCTATTGGTTTTCATCTTAGTTAAGTGCTCTTTATAATTTCAATTTTGCTTCCTCTTTATATAATAAAGCTTACTTAGAAGTGTGAATGTTAGGTGGTTAGAGTTTTTTAAATTATCTTCATTATCAACTTCAATTTTTATACCATTTTTATATGTAAATATATATGTAAAAATTTCTGCTTTGGGGGAATTTAGTTTTATAATCATTTTTTAATAAGTGCTCTATAAACATAACATGTAAATGTTGTATATTCTCTATTTGTAGTATACAACATCATGTACAATCAAGCTTTAACTGTGTTATTCAAATCTTTTATGTACCATTACATATTTTCTATCTACTTTGTCATGTGTTATAAAACTGTACCATGGTATTTCAAGGACAGTGGTTTTACAATTTTCCTTGTATTTCTAAGAGTTTGCATGTCATAAATTTCTCTTTGTTGTTTAGTGCATAAAAATGAGGGGTGCCTGGGTGACTCAGTCAGTTTAGAATCTGACTCTTAATTTTGACTCAGGTCATGGTCTCTGGGTTGTGAGATCGAGCCAGGTGTCAGGCTCTGTGCTAGGTATGGAACCTGCTTAAGATTCTCTTTCCCTCTCCCTCTGCTCCTCCCCTGACCTCTATTTACACATATGCTCTCTCTCTCTCTCTTAAAAAAAAAAAAAAGCATAGGGATGATGTATCTTATGGACTGTCACCATGATGAAATCAACATAGCTAAAGATTGAGTTAAGCATCATGCACATCTTCCCATTGCCAAGAAAACAAAATGAAATACAAAGCCGCCCAAGCAAAATGGGCCACTTACATTAGTTGCCACAGAAAGGACAGCCATTCCATAAAGAATGTCTTGCCAAACACCTATGCTGTGAGCTTTAGCAGCCACGGGTCTCCTATACTGAGTTGTAAGTTTCCAGGCATCCACTCGGATCTCTATAATATTATTCAAGAGAGCAAGAAGAGGAGCCAGAGGAAAAGAGGCCACAAATAATGTAACAAATCCAAACTGGGTAACTGTAGGAAAAAAAGAAAAATTAGTGAACTCATTATCGTGAAGGAGAAAAGGGGAAAAACTCTGCCCAAATTCCGCAACGTCCTCCTTTTGGAGAGATATACACCAGCAAAACACTCCAGGCCTCTTTCCATTGGCCCACTTCCTCCTCCCCACTGGAAGCATAGTGACTTAGTTACTGGCTAGCACAGAGAGGAGAAACTGGGCATATATAGCTCAGTTCTGTCCTTGCTGTTTTCTTTTGACATCTGCTTGTCTGAAGAAAGCATCTCTTCTTGTTAGAGAAGAGATTCTTTTTATTCTTCTTAAAACCCACCCTTTTATTAGGGGCTATGTTTAGGTCTATGCTGGTCTAGTCTTTACACTGGTAGTGACACATTAGTGGGGCAATCAAGTTCTTCCATCTCGAGGAATCTATGAGATCAGTGAGAATGTCTGATTCATTTGTGTGTTTCCAAGAGCCAGCGTGTGTTGATTATACAAACATACTCAACTACAACAGTGCACAGACTACACTGTTTAAGGTTTGAAGGTGCTAACAGATGACAAGACAGTGCAAAGGAAGATGCTTGAGAATGAAACAGAAAATGAATCATCTAAAGCATTACAAACACATATAAATTATATGTGGGCCAAGGAAATATAACACAATTTTCTGGAAAGATGTATTTATGTATTTGTTTAGGTCCTGGTCCTCTATACTATCTTGACATTTTTCTAAATAAATTGTATTTTCTTTCCTCATTAAGACTTAACACCTATGTAAGTTAACTTCTCTTCCCATTTTTTTTTTTTTTTATTTCCAACAATGACTGAGGTACAAGCATACATTCAACTGGCAGTCTGGGCTTCCCCCATAAGTGGAAACCATATAATAAGAGATACAGGAATGGCTTTCCACTGAAGGGAGAGAGGAAGGTGCTTCTACTAGTCCTCTATTTTCAGATGAATCTCAAGTGTTTCTGGATTTCAACTCTTCTCACAAAAGTTTCTCAAAGGAATTAGTCTTGCCACTTTCCAACCCAGCTGAACACCTCTTCAGAGGAAGCATTATGTAGAAACAACTTGAATTTTCTGTGTTCAAATCCCACATTTTACTTAAAATCTTTTTGGCCCATAGCATAAATTGACCCATCCTAATTTTAGTATCCTCTAAAACAAAATGCAGTGAATGATGAGTTCTCTGTGGAATGTTTCAAGATGCTATGATGTATACAAGACATCCACAATAAACTAACTCAGCTGCACCTCAGTAAATGGTAGTTAATTTTCTTATGAAACTTTTATTTCATTTTTTAATTTCAGTGATAATCCCTAATGCATTTATGCACAAATGCATTTGATACACAATTAATTAAAAATTAGAGCCTTATCACCCCATAAAGCAAGGACTACCCAATTTTACAACTGGTTATATGAAACAGGCTGCTCTCAGTTTGTCCTAAATTTACCTATTTCATTTCAGGTATCTTGTGTATGTATCACAGTGGAGAAACCAGTAGCAATTTCAGGTCACTTTTTCATTTCACCATGCTTTCATGGGCCTTAAGAGTCTTAAGTAAAGCAAACTGTCCTCCTTAATTTCATCACAGAAGCAGAGAAGTAACTTCAGAGGAAACATTTACATAGACTTTACGAGCAGTCTCCTCATCATCCCTCCTAAAATTTCACCTCAAAGTCTCTTCTCTGTTCAATCCGTAGCATTTTTTATGCATTTCTTGTGTTCAATGTGAACTCCCCCTACACAACTGTTTTTAGCCTTCTTCTTTTCAGCCTGAAATAAAGGACTTGCTCTAAATGTATGTCAGACTCTGGAAATGTCTACCAAGTTATTCTCTCTCTGGGCTGTAAGTGAGGCAAACAGGGAACTATGCAAGCTAATCTGAGAGAGGAGTTAAAAAAAAGTGATTCTTCCTTTATTTGGTTTAACAATCTTAACATTCAGTTGACAGGAAATATATCTCTAACATGGGTGTTTGAAACTCAGCTTCATTCTGCATTCTACCTAGTAAGGAATACAACCATCCACCTGTCCTTTTATCTACATTCCAATGGTTTATTGGACACCTACTAGCTACAAGGCAGGAAGAAACATTAAGAGCTAAAACAAACAAACAAACAAACAAACAAACAAAAACCCCCAAAACTTACTTTACTCAGCCTGACTATGTTTCAAGACAGTGGTTAAAACTTACCTGTTTCTAAGTACTCATAAAAGAGCCCAAGAGATCCGAAAGTTTCAAGGTCATGATCCTGCTCCCATCGACTGTACAGCTTTTCAGAGTTGGTCCGAGCTTTTCGACGTCTCCACCAATTCAGAACCATACTGTTGGAAGTGATAAAAGTAAATACATGATTAGAATTTAAAAGAAAGTGGTCAGAAAACCAGGGTGTTAGATCTAGAAATTGGTGGTGAGAGAGGTTAAGTAACTTAAGATCACAGAGCAAAGAGAGTATAACTACAGCTAAAGTCAAATTAAGAATCTAGTGTTTGAGGTCAAAGTTCTTTATTGGTGTGTTAAGAAAATAAGACTACCCTGACTCTCCCCATGGAAATACTTTACTCAGAGACAGTTCTGTTAAAGATTATGTGGAAGAGAGGGTCACCATAGGACCACTTTTTTTTCCATTTAATTTACTAACCTTTAAGTTGTCATGATACTCAGAAGTATGCTCAAGGAAGGGAGAAATTGGTTACAAGAGAAAATATATAACAAAGGAAACACAGAGGCCCATCAAACACATGAAAATAAATGCAATAACCCTAAGCAAAATATTACCTAACTAAATTCCATAGAATTTGAAAAATAATGTATCATGGTAATGTTGGAATACTTTAGGAACAGAAAGGCTTTTTTATTAGAAAAGCAATCAATATAATAAATGACATTAACAGATTTAAGCAGAAAAATATAAAATTATGTTGACTAATGAGAAAAATGCATTTGATATATTTCAAGCACCTAGTAAAACCTATTGATGACAGAAAAGCAGAAAAAGAAGGAAATTACCTCATCTGATAAAAAACATCTGCCAAAATCCTGGGGCAAATATTCTGAACAGGGAAAACCTAAAAGCATTACCTTTAGAATCAAGAACAATGTAAGACATCTTTTTCAAGAATCTATTAGACACAGCAAAGGAAACAACCAACAAACTAAAAGACAACCTAATAAGTAGAAAATACTCACAAATGACATATCCAATAAATGATTAATATCCAAAATATATAAAGCACCGATACAACTCACCACCCAAAAAACAAATATTCCAATTTAAAAATGTCAACATGAAAAGCCATTTCTCCAAAGAAGACATATAGATGGCCAACAGACACATAAAAAGATGCTCAACACCTCTCATCATCAGGGAAATACAAATCAAAACCACAATGAGATATCACCTTGTATCCATCAGAATGGTTAACATCAAAAACATAAGAAACAATAAGTGTTGGCAAGGATGTGGAGAAAAAGGAATCCTCTTACACTGTTGGTGGGAATACAAACTGGTTCAACCATCGTGGAAGACAGTATGGAGGTTCCTCAAAAAGTAAAAATGGAACTACCCTATGATACAGTAATTGCACTACCAGGTATTTTCCCAAAGAATACAAAAACACTAATTCAAAGGGATATAAGCACCCCTATGTTTATTGCAGCATTATTTACAATAGCCAAATTATGGAAGCAACCAAAGTGTCCCCTGATAGATAAATGAATGGATGAAGAAGATGTGGTAGGGCACCTACGTGGCTCAGTTGGTTGAGTGTCTGAATCTTGATTTTGGCTCAGGTCATGATTTCAGGTTGTGGGATTGAGACCCTCATTGGATCCACACTCATAAGAAGCCTGCTTGAGATTCTCTCCCCCTCTTTACTTCCCTCCCCACAACTTATTTTCTCTTTCTGTCTAAAATAAATAAATAAATATTTTTAAAAAAATGATGTGATATGTGTGCATACACACACACACACCATGGAATATTATTCGGCCATAAAAAAGAATGAAACCTTGCCATTTACAACAATGGATCTAGAGAGCATAATGCTAAGCAAAACAAGTGTGAGAAAGACAAGTACCATAGGATATCACTCATATAAGGAATTTAAGAAATAAAACAAACAAAGGGGAAAAAAAAGAGAGGGACAAATAAACCAGACTCTTACCTGCAGAGAACAAACAAATGGTTACCAGAGAGGAGGTGGGTGAAGGAAAAGGTGAAATAGGTGAAGGGAATTAAGAGTACACTTATCTTGATGAGCACTGAGTAATATAAGGAATTATGGAATGACTATATTGTACATCTGAATTGAATACAACACTGTATGTTAACTACATAAATTAAAATTTAAAAAGTCATCTTATTTGAATAAAGTAGCCCTATACCAAGCAAATGTTATGAACTCATGGTCAATTTAATAAAAAAAATTTCTGCAAAAACCAAAAAAAAAAAAAAAAAAAAGACTCTATAGGAGATCTTAGCACAGCAAGATGAAAAAGAAAAAGGCAAAAGAATTGGAAATGAGGAGAAGAAATCTCTGATTCAGATTATGAATAGTAATGAGAATGAAATGCCTGCTTAAAAAACCCAAACGAAGTTCGATAAGAATTATTTTAAAAAATGGAGTTTATCTACGTATTTTATTCCTATATACCCATAAAACACAAGTACAAAACATAATTTTTTAAAAGATACCACTTACAAAAGCAACTAAAATTGAAAGTACTTTTAGATGGTTTTGACAAAAGATCTGTAAGACCTATATGCCTAAGTTTAAATCTCTTTACAGTCACTGAAGTCCAAAATAAACATTCATGAAATAAAAAGACTTGGTATTATTAAAATGCCAGTTGTTTTATTGAAAAAACTGAAATGTAATTTCAATAAAAACATCAAATATTTTTCCATATGAGGTCTGGCAAGCTGTTTCTAAAATCTGTACAGAAAGACAAAAGATAAAAGATAGCCAATATATTTCTATAGATGAAGAATAAGTTAGTAAGACTTGACCCACCAGAGATCAAGACTTACTATAAAGCTGTATTAATTAAGAGAGTATAGTATTGGTACAAGGACAGACAAATCCTGGAACAGAATGGAAACCTAGTACTAGCCTTGCACTTGCTATATGGCATAAGGTAATATGGTAGATCATGGAGAGAGGGGAGGAGGAACTTCTCAATAAATGGTAAACACAACAATTACATATATATGTGCACATGAGAAAGAAATTAAATTTGAACTTCAGATCAAACACAAAAATCTTTTCTGTCTATATTCAAACTTTAAAAGGTAAAGACAATAATGTTAAAATGTTAAAAATTTAGAAGTATATGAAAATATCTTTTTGATCTTGGGGTAGGGAAGGATTTATTAAATAAGACTTGAAAAATGTTAACCCATAAAAGAAAAGATTGGTAAATTCTACTGTATTAAAAGTATATTCTTTTATCCATGTATACCAGAGGTTCTGCAGAGAACACTTACATGCTGCTTATATCCAAACTGAAAAAGAAAGGGCACAGAACCCCTCACATTTTTCAGACAGTATCAAAAAGATGGGCATAGCTAGAACTGGAAAAACAAAGAAAAGGGGACCACCCAGTTTAAACAAGAAAAATCTCCTAGGAACCCCAGGAGCACTTCCATTTACTAACTCCTCAGTTCCCACATGGTAACCATTATCTTGAATTTTAAAATAAGTACTTCCTTGTTTTCCTAAATATGGTTTGATCATCTATGATCATTTTCAGTTAATTTTTAAATGAGGCATAAGATTTATAAGTTTTTCTATTTTGCAAATGGAGGTCCAATTGTTCTAGCATGCATTGTTGAAAGACTGTTCTTTCTTCAATAAACTGCCTTTGCACCTTTGTCAAATATAAAATGGTCATATTTATGTAGATCTATTTCTGCAATACCTACTCTGTTCCATTAATACAACTATGTGTTCTTTCACCAATCCCAACATCTTGATTAATACAGTTTTATAGGAAGCCTTCAAATCTAGTAGTATAATTTTTTCAACTTTATTTTTTATGAGAATTGTTTTCCTATTTTATTTCTTCATCTTCTATATAAATTCTAGAATATGCTACATGTACAGAAAGAAATTCTGCTGATATTTTGATTAGAATAACAAATTTATATTTCAACTTGGGGGATAACCGGCATCTTTACTAATTTGAGTCTTTCAATCCGTGAAGGCGTTTCTCTCCATTCATACAGATTAAAACTTTTTTTCCCCGTCAGGATCTGTAGTTTTCTGTATACTAATCCCATATACTTTTTAGATTCATATCAAAGTATTTCTTTTTTTTTTCTTTTTTTGGTGCTAACTACCTTTGTACTGATCAATGTTTCTTGCATCCCAAACTTTCATTTTGTAATCTTTTCTTGCTCAACTACACCATTCAGTGATGGTCTATGAATGTAAACTCTTGTTTTTAATGTCTAAAAGTTGTCTTTATTTCACCTGTACTTTTTACACTAGTTAAACTGCTTCTAGAAATCTAGGTGTATACTAATTTTACTCAGCATCTTGAAAATATTCTACTGTCTTCTGTATCTAATGCAAGGAGTAAGATATCTGTGGATAGTGTAGATGATATTCTTTTTTTCTCCTGAAAGATTTTAAGATATTTTTAGCTCTCATGTTCTTACATTATAGTGTATCTGGGTATGAATTTAATTTTATTTATCTTACTTCATACTCCAAGTTCTTTTTCATTTCTGAAACTCACATTTTTCTTCATTTCTGGAAAATTTTCAGCATTTACTAATTCAAAGAATTGGTAAGAAAGAATTGGTGAGAGCATTTTTTCCTCCAACATTTACTCAGTTCTCTTTTTCTGGAACAACTAGTAAGTTAATATGGAAACCTTTTTATGTAATATAGCTTCCTATTACTTCAATTTTTTAAATCTCATTGTCACTCTGTTTTATTATACAATGTGGAAATTTCTCAGTACTATTTTCCAATTCATTAATTCATTCTTCAGTTGTGTCTAATCTGCAATCAATGTCATCTACTGCACTCTTTATTTAAAGTAACATGTTTCATTTATGTAGAATTGGTTCTTTTTCATGTTAATTTGTTCTTGTTTCATTTATATGTTTTTAATTAAATTATTTTCTGACCCTTTTAAATAACGGTATTACCTCCTTTTATGTTTTTAGGCTTTGTCAGAATCTTCTAGCTAGAGTTAAGTTCACTTTCTAAAAACTGATTTTGCTAGCAGCCTCTGTAGCATGAAATCTCCTCAGCAGTTTTGGAACTTTGGTTTGTAGGCTTAATTCTACTTGCTTCTTTTTTCTTTTATCTCCCTGAGTGTTTCTTTTCCTCTGTGAATATTTACCCTCCCTCTTGTGTTTGGTTTAGGAGTTATCCCCATTCTGCCCTCCAGATTCTCAATCTAGAGTTAGGACTTAAGATAATAGCTTAGAGTTATTTCTCTATGGTAATTGGATGTGGTTTATCAAATACTTTTTGTAGAGTTACATCATGTTCTTCCTCTGTCAGTACATGAAATAGAACCCCAGGAGAACTAATGAACTGTGGGGAGAGGTGGAAGCAGAGGAGGTCTCAAACGTCTTTCACGAAGAGGTGAGAATAAACCCAATCCCTAACTTCAAGTACAGTTACATGGGCCAAGCCCTGGTCTTAAGTAGAGCACTTAAGTCCACCTGACATTGTAGGTGCTAAACCTTGATGCTGTCACTTCCTAAATAGGAGCCCTGCAAGATGATAGGCTTATGATTCTCTTTTTATTCATGGAAATTTTCAACTTTTATTTGAGATCAACTGTCATTTTGGTTTTCTCTTTTCATAACGTGTCTATTATTGTCATGCTTTTGGAATAGAAAACAATACTTTCATATACCAAAACTTAATTCATGACCAATTTTTGTGCCTAAGGTACACAACACATGGATATTTTTAGAGTTTAACTTTCAGTAATCTAGAGAAGTAATAGGCAACATATAGAATAATGTACAGAGGATAAAACATTTAGATTTCCCAATGGAACCTCCATAGGAGAAGGGAATAATACCTTTTCCTCAATTTCACTCAAGCAATAAAAATCCTTGTTTAACAGCCTATATTACCTCAATGCATTCCTGACTGTTGATTAAAAGTGAGTTTTTGTTGTTGACTCAACCATTTGCTAACAATGATACCATGATAATCACAGAATTCCATCTTCTTCCAGAGGAAATCTCTCAGGGTTACCTGACTCAAGAAAAACTTGTAAGTTGTACATACGGATAAATGGCTTCTTTGACATTTCCAAAGATCTGTTTTCCAGTCATTATGATGGTCAATTGGGCTGTCAATTCTATTAGACAGCCTCCAGGGTCACACTAGTCAGAAGCAAGGAAAAAAAGAAAAGGGAGCAATGAAAGATGGATTTTTGCCAACAAAAGAAATCTTAGACCCAAGATTACAATCTGAAGATTTTGACGGGAACGGATATTAAAGGGATACAGATATTAAGCTCAATAGTTTCAAACAGGATAACTAACCAGTTACAAGACAGCTGCAACACATTTGGATTGCTGGGTCTCATTCTTAGAACATCCTGAATCTTTCTGTTGGGGGTTAGGGGTAGGGGTTGTTATTTTCTCCATGTGATTTGGATGCAAGGCAGGTATGGAAACCATTGATGTGGTCTAGCTCTATGACCCATGGTGGAGCCTTCCTGCTGTACTTCTGGAACGCTATCGCTCATCCTTGGCAGGAAGCCTTCTAGAATAGAGAACTCACTTATTCCATTCCATAGCTCATATTTTATTCCTAAATAATAGGCACAAAATAACTCCTTGCCCAAAAGGAACTGGGACGTCTACCAGATGATAGGATGGTAAGACCAATACTCTCTATGGAGAGAGTTGGTGGCTTACACTTCTCTGGGATCCTGATAAAAATCTGAGTTACTGCTGGGCACACAACAAGTATTTAGTTAATACTGAGTTCCTGAAGCCACAAGCCTCTCAAGACAACTCTTACCTCTTCACTTCTCCACGCATGAAACAAATATGTGTATTTTCCGGGATAGCCCACGAACTTCCCTTTAAAGAAAGCTACGTAGAAGCAGGACGAGTAAAAATTCACAAACTGAAACAGGAACATTTTCAAGGTAAGACTGCTCTCATATTCCTGATAAGTTCGAGGAATTTCTGTTAAGTAATAAAACACCAAGGTTAAATTATGCACTTTCCTGTTTCTCCCTCAATTCTGTATTGCCTGGGACAAGTCACATTATTAGTCATATTATTCTGAGAGCCTGTTGAAATAGGAGCCATTCTTGTCCTAACAGACCAATATTAAGTAACAATTTGTGCTCAGCTTTCTGTTAAGAGGCTTTGTATTAATCCAATCACTGGAGAAGCCTAAGAAGCAGTTATTACTATACTTAGATGGATAAAATACTTTACCTGGAGTCACACAGAATATGGAATTCAAACCCATATCAGACTGGAGAGGCTTATGCTTACCCTGGTACACTGTATGATATCCTGTAAACATAATAGATCTCTCTCTGTCTGTTGTCAATCAGGTTTAAATAAAGTAAAGGGCATCTGCAAGGACAGAGGATGATTTCCAAACTAAATTGTGTTTTCCTCTCATGAATTAATGCTTATATCAATTTTGAAAAGAATGTCATACAATTGGTGGCAGTAATAATACACTTTCTCTCTCCTTTATTTAAAATGCAGGATCATGATCTAACATTTAGTGAATTCCAAAGACAAAAAAATGTTAGATTCCCTTCACATCACAGATAAGCATCAGGAGGTGTGAAAGAGTCAGGGATCATGTTTTTCTGAGCTGATGATCTCCCAGCAGCATGAGCTGATCTAGCCAAAGTGGTAACAGTTTCAATGATACTGAAATGGTAACAATATTATTCTAAAGACGCAGAGAATTCCTCCTTTTTAGAGAAATTATCTGCATTCTTTCAAAATCTCTAATGTGTATTTAAGTGATTTTTCTCACTGAAATCTCTGATTTTTTAGATGCTTTGTTTTTAAGTGCTATATGCTAGATTTTTTTCTTTTATTAACAAAAAAAGCAGTAAAGCTGAGCGAGAACTACAAATCTGAAGATAGCCTTTAATGAAAGTTGCTTCCTAGAGCAAACTCTGGTGCTGAATGAGTAATGTGCTCTTCCTGGTACCGTTGGGTGCAGTGATGGTATACGGACTTGGAGGAGGAACCTTGCGCACTCAGAGGAGAAGCTGACGCCTGGGACTGGGGTCTTGATCTCATTTCCAACTTGCCAGAGGCAAGGCAAGAAGCAACTGTGCTCCACACCCCTCTCCCTGACTAAATCTCCCACTTTGACTATGACTCCTTTACTGTCCCTCATGGCTATAGGAGAACTTTTAATAATTTAAAAGGAAAAGAGGGGCACCTGGGTGGCTCAGTCGGATGTGTCTGACTTGACTTTGGCTCAGGTCATATCAGGGTCATGATCTCAAGCTCCATGTAGGGTTCACCCTGGGCATAGAGCCTGCTTACGATTCTCTCTCTCCCTCTCATTTTGCCCACCCCTACCACAGCACGCATGCACGCTCCTCTCTCTCTCTCTCTCTCTCTCAAAATTAATTAATCAGTTCATTAATGAAGGAAAATAATCCAGGGTCTAAGACCCACGACAACTGAAAAAAAAAGTATTACATTTTAGATATATTCAGGAGGAGCTGATTGTTTTGTTTTTCCCACAATGGTTTTCAAAAGCAAATCCCTTCCAAACACCATATACATGAAATAAAAATTATCTGTGTCTTGAGAAAAGTGAGGCTTTTACTTAAAATTCAACTAGCCTGATCAAGGGAGGATTGAGACAAGAATACTCTGAAAGTTCTACTGAGTCCTAATTCTTCTTTTTAGTTCTTTTTCTTGCTTCCACCATAATGGGTCTAAATGTGGCTGTTAGGGAATTCTGATTACCAGCCTATGTGTCTACCTATAGAACAAAACTGCCTTAGGAGGTGCCTTTAAAAACTGCCTTTAAAAACGGCAGGTGTTGGTGAGTATGAGGAGCAAGGGGAACCCTCCTACACTATTGGTGGGAATGCAAGCTGGTGCAGCCACTTTGGAAAAAGCATGGAGGTTCCTCAAAGAGTTGAAAATTGAGCTACTCTATGACTCAGCAATTGCATGACTGGGTACTTATCCCAAAGATACAAATGTAGTGATTTGAAGGGGCACGTGCACCCAATGTTTATAGCAGCAATGTCCACGATAGCCAACCTATGGAAAAAGCCCAGATGTCCATCAACAGATGAATGGATAACAAAGATGTGATATATATATAGATATATCTATCTATCTATCTATCTATCTATATATATATATATATATAATGGAATATTATGCAGCCATCAAAAACCTGAAGTCTTGCCATTTGCAATGATGTGAATGGAACTAGAGGGTATTATGCTAAGCAAAATAAGTCAATCAGAGAAAGACAATTATCATATAGTATCTCTGATATGAGGAATTGGAGAGGCAGGGCAGGGGGTCGCGGTGGGCAGGGAGGGAAAAAAATGAAACAAAATGGAACTGGGGAGGGAGATAAACCATAAGAGACTCTTAATCTCAGGAAACAAACTGAGGGTTGCTGGGGGGTCAGGGGGAGGGATAGGGTGGCTGGGTTATGGACATGGGGGAGAGTATATGCTATGGTGAGTACTGTAAATTGTGTAAGACTGATGAATCACAGTCCTGTACCCTTGAAACAACTAATACCTTATATGTTAATTTAAAAAAAATGAACTCCCCAAGGGATGGTCCAAAACTGATGTATAGCACTGGTAGAATATTTTTTCAGTGCCACACAGATGACCTGGCCAACTTACCCATTTTTGTAATCCATACAGATATCTTTTCATAAATGAAATTCAAGATCAAGATGACGATAAAGTTCAAGCAGGATCCACTGAGTGACGTGGCTATCTGGGGAGTGAGGAAACTTTTGACATGCTTAAAGGATGCTTCACTTTCCATAAAGCTAGCAAATGTAGCAAACACTGACAGGCGGTACACAATCACAGCTACCATACAGGCGATGACAAGGGCCATCTGGAAAAGGGAAACAAGGAATCAGTCACTCTGGTCTCTATCTCTGCCATGTGTACCCATCTGAAACATACTATTCTCTTCATCTCATTATGTTAAGGTCAGCCCCTCTGACTTGGGAAGCAGACCAAGCCAGTCCCTCTTACATAGATGGCAGGGAAAGAACACTGTTAAGGCAAAAGGTTTATAGAGAAGACAAGACCTGTGGTTGTAGCTGGGTGAGTCTAAAACAGATGAGTAGCCATTGCCCATTCATCATCTGTCAAGCATTGGAAAATTAGGCACAAGGCCAAATCCTGCCTGTGGCCTTACTCACTCTTATATGGTTTTTGAGTTATAAATGGCTTTTTGCTGCTTTTTTTAAGGTTATAGGAAAAAACAAAGATGATTACATGCCAGAGACTGTCTGTGGCCCACAAAGCCTAAAATACATGTGGCCCCTCCACAGAAAACCGTTGCCAAACTGTCTGCCCCAGGTTGTAGTTAAACACGTAGTGTGAAGACCAAGTACTTTCCCAAGAAGGACACATTTAGAGATCCCGTCTCATTTCCCCTCAGAATGTTGCCATTTGTGTTCTGATATGCCTGGTAGTTTAAGATATTTATATAGATGCTACATAAATTTTAAACACTTCCCATATTGCAAAAACCCAAAGATCTGGTGAAGCCTTTACCTTGATGATTGGAAAATCTGACTGTGAAAGTTGAGGGACTGAATCAAATGGAATGAGTACTAGAAATAAAAGATAGAATAATCTTTCTGGAACCACACTCTAGATTATTTCTCAAGCAGTGCCCTGACTTGATTATTGCTCTATTATCAATAAAATATTATTTACACTATTACTTCTCCTCAGTGTCTGTTATATCATCTAAGAAAACACACATTTAAAAGAGAAAAACTGGGCGCCTGGGTGGCTCGGTGGGTTAAACCCTCTGCCTTCAGCTCAGGTCATGATCCCAGGGTCCTGGGATCGAGTCCCGCATCAGACAGCCCACTTCTCAGTCTCTCTCTGCCTACTTGTGATCTCTGTTCATCAAATAAATAAATAAAAGCTTAAAAAAAAATAAAAGAGAAAAACCAATACCTTTAACTAGAAATGTTAAAGATAAAAAATTATGGGATAATACGAACTATAAGGTTAAACTCTAGTCAACAACTGCTAATTATTTATTCTTCAACATGTTAAGCTCTGAGAGGGTTAACACTGCTTCTTTTCCTTAAAATTCAAGGCCAGCTGTGAGAGGACCCACATTTGGAAAGTGGAGGGTGGGAAATGAATTGTGGTGGTGGAGGAATCTGGTAGCTAAAAGGCATGGAAAAAAACCTGACTCCCTCACAATGGGACTCGCTAATTAAATTCTTCAAGTAGAAGTCATACTTTCTTCTATTTATTTCAGCAAGAAAATAAATTTTGACTATATGCTTTTTTTTCTTTGCATTTTGTGTAGATATTTTAAGTGGATATAAAGATAAATCAATGATTTTTTTTTAAGGAAACAAAAACCAAACAGTCTGCAAATGAATCTGTTACATGTGCTGGTTGCTGGGGGAGGGGGAGGGGCAGGCACTCAGATGAGGCACGGGTCTCTCCCCAAGCTCTTCTTACAAGATTCAGTTGTGGCACATCTATGTGGGTCACCCTTGAGTTTATATATGAGCTCTATTCAAAATAAAAAGACGGGGGGGGGGGGGGGGGGAGAGGGGCTCGAGAGCCATGGCAGATGAAACTACGGAGGTTATCCTAATAAGACTGCACATCAAGAGATGAGAGCAGGTTCCCAAACATGCTCACCCAAAATGTCACCGTAGCTCCTGATAAAAAGTACCATGGGAGACGACTCCACAGAGGCATGTATGGTTCCATCTCCTGCAATTTTGAAGAAATCACAGCAAAATTCAAAATCTACCCTCAACATTGGGACGCCAAGCAGTAGTCAAAACCACAAAACCCAGTTAGAGTAGAAACCTCCCCGAGTCCACGACAGCTCATGGGCAGCTACATTCTAGCCCTGGTTCCTTCCCTTCAGGTAGAGACCTTCAGGGCTCTCAGGTGAGATTGTTCACACATGATATGAGCCATAACGGATACACACTGTATCCTCAGGGTTGAATGAGAGTGGTGTTTAGGGCCTGGGAGAGAGGAAACGACGTCAGAACCCAAGAGCTGCTGCTTAAGTGGACATGCTTTAATGATACTACAGCTTGCTTCTAATTGAATTGAATCAAATTGCACTGCTCTATAATTGCTACACATGATATTAAACAGGGCACCATCTTTATATTTACAGGATTGTGTTCTTCTGCACAGTTCAGGGGACCAGGCTTTTCCACCTTGATGTTCTTCTAAGCCATTAACAGAAGATATTCATTATATCAGCTGAAATTCTTAGCTACATCAAGAGCCAGTGAGATCTTACCCCCCCAAAATTGCCATAGAGTAAAAAACAGCCGTCAGCAGAAATCTAAATCATATAATTCTATCTAAAGGATAGGATTTTTAGGGAGGATTTTTATACCTGGAGGATTTTTAGGGAAGACTGAATGCAAACAGAACTTGACAGGCAGAACAGCTGTCCAAGAGCTCTACTGAATGTGTGTGCATGTGTGCACATGTGTGTGTCCAATGTGTGTGTGTGTGTGTGTGCATGCTTTTTGTGCATGTGTGTGTGTGTGTGTGTGTGTGCCCATGCATACATGTATGTGTTCTCAATACAGACTCAAATGTGAGGGCTCTGGCCATACTGACCCGTTGAAGAAGCCCTGCAATTAAGTCAGAACCTTGATTTCAAAACCATTCAAGTGGATGATTCACAGCCAGTCCATTCATACTGTTTTTCAGCTGGTTTCATACGCAAACATTCAGTACCTCTGGTTTTTATGGCAATAATTTTAGGCCTGCTTTTAGTTTCCTTTTTATACCATGAAATATTAATAGATACACATCACATCATTATCATGGCAAGTCTCTTTTAATATGTTTTCTTAATGTCAGACAGCCACCCAAGTCGTTAATATATTGTCTGAGGCATTTTTTCCCTTTGCTCACTTACTGGATTTTTTCGTAATGTCTCAGTAAAGCCAATAGATGCCTAGTGAGTGCATGAATGCCTAAACTGTGAAGATAATTTTGAGTATTATACCACAAGAACAGTGTCCTGAACAGAATGGGAAATTCTGCTAGAGAGACTGTGTTAGAGACATATTCTGTTCTCCCTTTAACAGCTTTGGGCCACACAGTGACTATGGTTGATGGAAAGGTAGGGACGCTAAGAATATGTGGTCGAGTCTGGTCTTTGAAGGCAAAGTACTTTATATTTTTCACATTAAAAAACAAAAAACAAAAAATCAAAGAAAAAGCACCAAGAAGTCAAATTACTCAGTCGACAACATATAGGTGGTTTGCCAGTGAAGGAGCCCCAGACTTAGACATTGCCATCCAGACACTAGTGCAATGATCTTCCCATTATAATAAATTAAAAGAGACTGGGTGAATAAAATTTGGTCTAATAAAACAATCACTCATAAGTTCACTATCTTAAAATAATACTATTTTAATTTTGGTGTGTTAACTTAGTATCATTTCCATGTATATATATTTATATACTAAGTCCATTGCATATACATTCTTTTCCATTTTCCTTTTATTCCATTTGTTACAAAACTATGTTATATCATGACATGATGCTTTGTATTTGCTTCAAAATCATCCCATGGTGGAGAGGAGCAAGTGTAAATGTAACAAGACAGTCCGTGAATTAGTATTCACTGAAGCTGGGTGACAGGTCCATCCTGGGGTTCATTATACTTCTCTATCTACTTTTTTCGTATAGATTTTAAATACGTACGAGAAACAAGGAAAGAAGTTTGTAAGATTTCTCTGTTGGAAAATATTTTAAAAGCAAATTAAAACATCCACTATTATTTGTGTGGTTGTCCAGAGCGGGGACTCCACTGAGATATGCTGGCCGTCAGCGCGCTGACCCACCTTAGTCACTGCATTCATCTTCCTCTGTTTACACATAGCTTCAAACTCCGGTCTCAGCTGAAGCTGCTGCTGTTCCTCTTCAAAGTCCACCAGGTCCCACTCATATTCCATTCTGGCCTGTCGCTGTTTCCAAAACTCCAAGAACAATGTGACTGTAGACAAAGAAAAGCATAAAAACAACTGTAATCAAGGGATGGAGAATAAAATGCATAAGAAAATAATCTGGGTTTTTTTTCTCCACTTTAAAAAAAATGTTGGTTGAATGATGGTTCTTCTGTCACTACTATGTTGGCTTAATAACATGTGATAACACTGACGTAATTCATGTAAAAACTCAAGTCAATTTCATAGCAGTCCATGCAAGATAAACAATTTCAGGCACATTACTCTCTCTTCATTCAAATAATCTGAAGTAATATTAAACTTACCTTTTTGCTAAAACCTAGATTTTGTTTGCATGGTTGTTTTTTGTTTTTTTTTTTTTTTTCCCACTGAAATCATTCAAGCAATTATACAAGTTTTTCAGGCTTAGGTAAATTTAAGGAAAACATGAGAGTCATTCCCATAGCACAATCTCTGTCTCTCTGTCCCTGTCCACCTCTCTCTCTCTTTCTCTCTCTCTCTTTGTATATACATATAATTTTTAATAAACTTTCAATTGCATCATAACATACTCACAGAAAAGTACATAAAACACACCTGTAAAATTTAAAGAATTTTCACAAAATAAGCATTCCCATGGAACAGCATCAATATAAAAAAATAGAACATGACCAGCACCCCTAAAAACACACCCTATGACTCTTCTAAGATGTAAGTATAACTAGTATCCTAGCTTCTAACGTCATAGGATAGTTTCACCCATCTTTGAACTTTTCATAAATGGTCACATAATATAGGTAGTTTTTGCATTAGGTTTTGTTTCGGTTCAACTTTTCTTGTAAACTGAATCCATATTGGTGTGTGTAGCAAAAGTTCATTTATTTTCATTGCTGCAGTGTTCTATTATTTAAGTAAACCATAATTTTGTTTATTCTTGAACTCATAGACGTTTGGATTATTGCCAGGTTTTTTGTTATTACAAATACCGTTGCTGTGAATATTCTTGTACATATCTTTTGGTGGGCATATGCATGCCTTTCTGGTATATATCTAAGAATGGAATACTAACACAATCAATATTAACATATAATTTTATCACCTGTGATTCAAATTTTAATGTTTCATCTGACTCATTCCCTGCTTACTTTTATTTTCTTTAATTTTTTTATTTTTAATTTTTATTTTTAAATTTTTAAAAATAGGATCTCTACCCAACATGGGACTTGAACCTACAACCTTGAGATCAAGTCCTGAGCTGAGGTGAAGAATCAGACACTTAACTGACTGAGCCACCCAGGTGCCCTTTTTCTTCCTTTAAAAAAATTATTTTATTGTAAGAACAGCTAACCTGCTTTGTATCCTCTTAACAAATTTTAAGTCTATAGTACCTTATTATTGACTAGAGGCATGAGATTGTACAGTAGCTCTCTAGAGATTATTTATCTTATAACTAAGACTCTACGGCCTTTGATTAGTTACTCCCCTTTTCCCTCATTTCCACTAACCCCCAACAATCTCCATTCCACTCTCTGATTCTATAAATGTGACCATTTTAGATTGCTTCATGTAAATGGAATCAGGAAGGATTTCTCTGTCTGTAACTGGCATATTTCAAAGATCATAATGTCTTCAAGATTGATCGATGTTGTCACATATTTCAGAATTTCCTTCTTTTCAAGGGTGAATAACATATCAAATGTATATACCAATAGTATATATATACATATATACATATGTATATACACATAACACATTATATATATACATATATATGTATATATGTATATGCATAATGTGTGTGTATATATATATATATACACACACACACACACACATATATATATATGATCACAATTTCTTTATCCATTCATTTATCCATGGACATTTAGGTAGTTACTACCTCTCACTTACTGTGGATAGTGCTTTAATGAACACAGGAGTCCCAGCATCTCTTCAAGAACCTGATTTCAATTATCTGGAGTAAATTACTCATGAGTGGTATTGCTAGATCATATAGTAGTTCTATTTTTAGTTTTCTGAGGAATTTCCATACTGTTCTCCAGCTGCACTATTTAGCATACCCACTAACAATGTACAAAAATTTATGATAATTCTCCACATCCTCATCAGCTCTTGTCTTTTGTTATTTTGGTAATAGCCATCCTGACAGGTATGAGTTGACTTCTCATTGTGATTTCTGATTTGCATTTCTCTGGTAACTAGTAATCCTAAGCATTTCTTTATGTACCTATTGGCCATTTGTATATATTCTTGGGAGAATATCTATTCGAATCCTTCGTCCATTTTAAAATCAGGTTATTAGGGCTTTTTCACTATTTTTAAAAATATTTTATTTATTAGAGAGAGAGAGAGAGAGAGAAACAGCATGAGTTGGGAGGAAGAGAAGAAGAGGGAGAAAGAATTTGAAGCAGACTCCAGACTAAACACAGAGCCTAATGCAGGGCTCAATTCCATGACTGCAAGATCGTGACCTGAGCCAAAAGGGAGTCAGATGCCTAACCGACTGTGCCAACCAGGTGCCCTGGGTTTTTCCATTATTGAGTTTCAGGAATTCCTTAAGTATTTTGGAGATTCGCCCCTTATCAGAGATATGATTTGCAAATATCTTCTGCCATTCCATGGGTTGTCTTTTCACTATGCTGTTTTCTATGCTGCACAGAAACTTTTTTAGCTCAATGTAGTCCAGATTGGTTTTGGTTTCTGTTACCTGGGCTTTGATGTTATGTACAGGAAATCATTGCCAAGATCAATGTCATGAAGTTTTTCCTTAAATGTTCTTCTAGGAGCTTTATATAGTTTCAGGTCTTACATTTGATATTTTATCTGATTCTGAAGTGATTTTTGTGCATAGTGTAAGATAAAGATTTAATTTCATTCTTTTGCATGTGGATATCCAATTTCTCCACATCATTTGTTGAAGAGACTAGCCCTTCCCCATCGTGTATTCTTGGAACTCTTGTCGAAGAACAGTGAACCATACATGCGTGGGTTTATTTCTGAACTGCTGTCTGTTCTACTGGTCTGTGTATCTGTCTTTATGCCAGTGCCATATTGTTTTGATTACTGTAGACTTTGCAATTTTGAAATCAAGAAGTGTGATGTCTCCAGCTTTGTTCTTTCTCAAGACCGGCCTGCCTACTTCAAGAGTCTTGTGATTCCACATGAATTCTTTTCAGTTGTTTTTCCCATTTCTGTAAAAAATGTCATTGGGATTTTGGTAGAGATCATATTGAATATTTAGATCACTTTGGGTAGTATGGAAAAATTAATAATCTTAAGTCTTCCAATCCACGAGCATGGGGTGGCTTATTATTCCTCCAGATATTTAGCAATATGGGTATTGTTTGCTTTGCATGGTTCTAGTATGCATATTCCAGTTTCCATGGGTTAGTGACACAACACAAGTCCCCCAGCATGACTCAAAATTCAGGTACTACACTATATTAACTGTGAACTGTTGCATAAATAACAGCATAAATAACCTAACTTTAGACCACAAGAAACTAGAAAAAGAAGAATAAACTAAGCACAAAGTTAGTAGAAAGAAGGAAATAACAAAGATTAGAGTGCAAATGAATGAAACAGAGACTAAACAGACAATAGAAAAGATCGATAAAACTAAGAGCTGGTTTTCTTCTTCAAAAGATAAACAAAGTAGACAAACCTTTAGCTAGACTTATCAAGAAAAAAAATAGAGAGGACTCATATAAATAAAATTAGAAATGAAAGAGGAAACAGAACAACTGCTATCACGAAATACAAAGAATCACAAAAAGACTACTATGTATGCCATCAAATTGGACAAACTAGAAGAAATGCATAAATACCTATAAACAACAACCTACTAAGACTGAATCATGAAGAAATAGAAAATCTGAACAGACCACTGACTAGTAAGAATCTTGAATCAGTAATCAAAAACCTCCCCACAAAGACAAGTCCAGAAGAAGATAACTTCACTGGTACATTTTACTAATCATTTAAAGAACTAATGCCAATCTTTCTCAAACTCTTGCCAAACATATAGTAGGAGGGAAGACTTTCAGACTCGATTTACAAGGCCAGCATTACTCTGATACCAAAGCCAAAGACCTCAGGAGAAAAGAAAACCATGGCTCAATATCCCTGATGAACACAGATGCAAAACACCTGAATAAAATAGCAGCAAGTCAAATTCAACAATACAGTAAAAAGATCATACACCATGACTAAGTAAAATTTATGCCAGGATACAAGGATGGTTCTACATGCACAAATCAATCAATGTGGCATACTACATTAATAAAATGAATGATAAATCTTACAGTCATCTCAACTGATGAAGCAAAGGCATTTAAAAGAATTCATGATAAAAATTCTCAACATTATGGGTATGGAGGAAATGTAACAACATAATAGGAGGAAATGTACCAACATAGTAAGAGTCATATATGACAAGCCAACAGCTAAGATCATTCTCAGTGATGAAAAGCCAAAAGGTTTTCCTCTACCAAAGGATGCCCATTCTTGTCACTTGTTTTCAATAAAGTACTGAAGTCCTAGCTAGAGCAATTGGCCAAGAAAAAGGAAGAAATGGCATATAATTTGGAAAGGAAAAAGTAAAACCTTCTCTATTTGCAAATGGCAGTAAATTATGTATAGGAAGTCTAAAGAGTCCACCAAAAATAGAATAAGGGAATTCTGTAAAGTTTGAGGATAAAAATTAATATACAAAAATTTGTTGTTTCTATAAACTAACCACATACTGTCAGAAAGATAAATTAAGAAGACAATCCCATTTCCAATAGTATCAAAAGGAATAAAATATCTAGGAACAAATTTAACCCAGGAGGTAAAAGATATGTACACTGAACACTACAAGATACAGATAAAAGAAACCAAGAATACACAAATACATGGAAAGATATTCTACACTTATGGAGTGTAAGAATTAATATTGTAAAAATGTCCATATTACCCAAGCAATCTTCAGATTCAATGCAATCCCTATCAAAATTCCAATGACATTTTTCACAGAAATAGAACAAACAATAATAAAATTTGTATGGAACCACAAAAGATCTGGAATACTCAGAGCAATCTTGAGAAAGAAGAACTAAGCAGTAGCCATCACACTGCCTGATTTCAAACCTACAGTAATTATATAATTTTATATTTTATAATTTTATACTTTATAATTTTATATTTTTATATATTTATGTTTTATATTTTTAATTTATAATTAAATTAAATTTTATAATTTATAATTTTATAATTTATATTACAAAGCTATATTAGTCAAAACAATAGAAACCTTCAAAAAAACAGTCACATAGACCTATGTATCATCATCAATAGCCCAGATATAAACCCATGCATGTATGATCAACTAATATTTAACAAAGGAGCCAAGAATAGTCAAAGGGGAAAGGACTTTTCTTCAATAAATGGTTTTGTAAAAACTGGATATTCAGGTACAAAGGAACAAAGTTTAATCCCTTAGACCGTATGTCCAAATCAACTCAAAATAGATTACAGACTGAATGAGCATAAGACCTGAAACCAGAAAACTCCTGGAAGAAAATATCGTGGGTAATAAGCTCCTTGACATTGCCATGGCAATGATTTGCTAGATTTGACATTAAAGCTAAGGCAACAAAGGCAAAAATAAACAAGTGGGACTATATCAAACTAGAAAGCACAGCAAAGGAAACAATTAACAAAATGAAAAGGCAACCTACAGAATGGAAAGAAATATTTGCAAATTATATATCTGATAAGGGGTTAATATCATATACACAGAGAGAGAGAGAGAGAGAGAAAGAGATACACCTCAACAGCAAAACAAAACAAAACAACAATCCAATAAAAAAATGAACACAGGGGGTACCTGGGTGGCTCAGTGGGTTAAGGCCTCTGCCTTCGGCTCAGGTCATGATCCCAGGGTCCTGGGATCGAGCCCCACATTGGGCTCTCTGCTAGGCGGGGAGCCTGCTTCCCTTCCTCTCTCTCTGCCTCTCTCTCTGCCTACTTGTGATCTCTCTCTCTCTCTTTGTCAAATAAATAAACACAATCTTTTAAAAGAAAATGAACACAGAATCTAATTAGATATTTTTCCAAAGATAAAGAAATGGTCAACAGGGAGGCACCTGGGCGACTCAGTCTGTTAACTGACTGACTCTTGATTTCAGATCAGGTCATGATCTCAGCATTGTGAGCTCAAGCCCCATGTTGGGCTCTGCCCTGGGTGTGGAGCCTGCTCAAGATTCCCTCTCTCCTTCTCCCTCTGCCCCCCAACCCTGCTCACATGTACATATGCGCTGGCTCTCTCTCTTTAAAAAAAGAAAATTAACCAACAGGTAACCAAAAAGAGTCTCAACATCACTCATCATCAGGAAAATGAAAATCAAAACCACAATGAGATTATCACTTCACACCTGTCAGAATGGCTGTCATCAGAAAGACAAGACGTAACAAGTGTTAGGAAGGATGTAGAGATAAGGGACCCCTTGCACACTGATGGTGGGAATGTAAACTGATACAGCCATTTAGGAAAACAATATGGAGGTTCCTCAGAAAAATTAAAAATACAACTACCATATGATCCAGCAATTCTACTTCTACGTATATACCCAAAGGAAAGAAAAATCACGAATTTGAACTGATATTTGCATCCCCATGTTTACTGTGGCATGCCTTACAATAGCCAAGTCAGGGAGACAACCTGTGACCATCAATGCATGATGAACGGGTAAAGAAAATGTGGCATATACATATACAATGGAATGACATTCAGCCATAAAAAAGAACGAAATCCTGCTATTTGGGACAACATGGATGGACCCTAAGGATGTTATGCTAAATGGCATAAATCAGACAGAGAAATACAAATACTGTATGATCTCACTTATATGTGGAATATAAAAAAAAAAACACTTGTAGGAACAGATACAGATTGGTGGTTACTGGAGTTGGGGGTGGATGGGTGAAAGTGGTCAAAAAGTACAAATTTTGATTTAGAAGAGTAATAAGCCCTTGTGATATAATGAACAGCATGGTGATTATATTTAAAACTAAAAGTTGTTAAAGACTGGACCTTAAATGTTCTCATCATAAGAAAAATAAGTGAAATGACGGATGTTAACCAAACCTACTGTGGTAATCATTTTACAATATATAAATATATATGAAATCATCATGTTGTATACATTAAACTGATACAATATTATACGTCAAATATATCTCAATAAAACTTGGGGTGGGGGAGAAGAAGTGACCTAAATGTTTCAATAGAGAACTGGTTACATAAAATATGATAAGCTCATGTAAGGCAATTCTATTCAGTCATAAATACACGTACACACACACACACACACACACACACATCCACTGCTCTGGAAGGAGTCTCCTCACTCATTGTTTAAACAATGAGTAGATTTAAAACTGTGTATAACAGTTATGTAAAATTGTATGAATACACATACCCACACACACAGAGCAGAAGATTCTGAAAAATCATGGCCAAGATAATGTTTCTACTTCTAGTAATGTTAACATTATTTTCTCTCTACTTCTATATACTACTTGAATTTTCTATGATGGGTATGTATTTTTATTATGAACAAAAACGTAAAAAGTACTTCCTTTCTGCCAGTACAAAGCATAGTAAGCATTATTTTCAGGTCTCAACCCCTTGAACTAGTGTTGTTCCTTTAATCTAGGATATTTTATCGTCACACCTATTCCACCAACTCACCCTTTGGTTTGGCTCAATTATTTATTAGTGGTTGTACTAAAACAAATATCCCCAAAGTTCTGTTTTCCTAGAATTTGGCCACAATCCTCAAAAACCAAAGGTAAACCAATTCACTATAAGAGTAAACTTTTCCCAAAGAACAGATGGTGGCACCTTTCACCATATTTCCAGTGTCTGTGGGTCCCCCATGCGGCTGCTTCTCTATCTCTGACGAAATAGAAGGTGGCTGTGGGTGCACCATCTCTCTCATTGGAAACTTAACTGCAAACTATCGTATTTGTTGCCATTGGTGCACCTCTCCTGCACTGCTGATTCCGAGTCACGACAAAGGAAGGACTTGGTGGCCACAGGGATGAAGACACGTGGAGCTGGGCAACTAGAGGACTGTTGGTAAGATTTCTCTGTTCTCTGGTTTTCGAATCTAGGCTGCTCTCTTCAGAGCATAGCAGCTCTGCATTTAGCTCTGCTAAATCCCTCTGCTTCACACCACATCCCCATGTCTGGGTGTCTTTTTGGCTGGATTAAGCTACCCCGGTTCTCTTGCCCAGTTTTTAAATGCACATATTGTTGAAGACTTTTTTTTTTTTTTTTAAGTTGGAAAGAAAAGAAGTCTATTTTTCCCCAGAGTCCCCTGAGATTTGGGACATGTTTTAGAAGGCTTTAGGCTTCTTCCTGCTGACTTACTCTTACATAAAATATTTTCCTCACTGATGGCAGGAACAACTTCATGACACCTCTTCTTCTCATGTAAAATGAAAAAGATGAGATACTGGGACATTTCCAAAATTAAGGGGAACTCCACTTTACATGAAGATTTTTAACAAATGGAACTGGAAGCTGGAATCGGAATTAAACTCAGGGACTTTCAACTCAAACATGGATTTATTAGCCCTCAACAGTTGTTGATTCTTGTTCAACTTTGTGCCCATGATTCAGTGGCTTTCAGCCAACAAATATTCATGTGTACTCTCTCTTGCATTAAGTAGTTGTTGAACTGGGTTTTTACCACAGCCCTGGGAGACAGTGTAAGCTGAATGAATATATACAAAGCTTCAAAAATTATTATCTCAGAGAAATTAAGAGATAATTAATAAAGACCTTTTTGGACCAAAGACAAAGGACTACAGACCACTGATGCAGACTCCATCAGTGTACTGATGCTAGCTGGCAAAGACACAAAGGTCCAAAATCATCTTTGGTATAAGGTATGCCATCTGTATATGTTATACAAATGGGCCATAGAATACATAACACGGAGAAAGTTGTTTTTTATGTAACTATCTACTCACCCCAAATTCCCATGAATATTGCAAAGAACACTGTCGACTCGTTATCAAACAAATGGGAGATCTGTAAAAACGGCAATAACATCACAAAGTCTACTCAGTATCAAATGTCATACAAAAAGAGAGAAATTCCAACTCTTTTCATTGTTCTGTAGTACGTACATACCTTGGAAGCCAAACATGTGGTATTTAGTCTCCAATAATCACACACTTGATCACAGAGTGGGCACATGATAATCTGACCTCCAATTGTAGGGTCACAGATCTCAGAGCTGCAGAGGGAACAGCCAAGTTATTTGCAAAGTGATGTGTTTTCAGGTGGTAGAACCACTCTTTATATAGCTTCTCACATATAGCAGGGGGGGCAACAAAGCAGCAATTTCTGTAGTAGGTCAAGTCATGTTTTGAGAAACAGAACCTTTAGAGCGGATCATTAGAACAGATTGTCCCTAAAGCACCAGGTGAGGGACAGCTGTTACACTGGGATTTTTATTTTTTTAATATAAATTATCTGCCTGCCATCAGGAAACATTCTGAAACACATGCCAGGGAAATCATAGCAACAGCCTCAGTTAGCGTAACAGCAAAGTGTTCTCTCTGTGTGGGCAATTCAGCTGCACTCACCTGTTTGAGTTACTATGCATGGATAATAAGCCGTAAATGAAACACGCTAAGCCAACTATAGCTGCAAAGGACAGCATCTCAGTGTAAAATCCAAGAAAGACAAAATACATGGCAATTTTTTCTCCAAAATAATTCCTATGAAAGAAGGTAGAAATAAGATCAAAGGTTAGAAGCATGATACCCTCCAGAGAGCTTTGGTTTTTGTACTCAGACAAGACCTATATTCCTCTCTCCCTTGCTCTTTAGCCCTGAAATCTTGGTAAAGTTACTAAACTCTCCTCACTTTGGTTTCCAAAGCACAAAATGCAGGAGGGTGCTTATCCACAGAATTGGTATAAGGACTGAAGGAAAGAACACACGTAAGTCAGACACCAACTGAGCATAAGTTAAGCTTTAATTTTGAAACAGTAAGGTAATTTGAAAAGCTTCTAAGTTTTAAGGAGAGTTTAAATGTATTGAAATAAACTGTAGAACATTCTGCAATGTAACTTCTAGCAATTAACAAGATCAAAATCACTTTCACAATGTGAATGGAGTTTCATTTTATTTCTCTTTCTAATATAAAGAAGGTTCTCTGACTACATCAGACAAGAGTGGTTGTATGTATAAACTTCCTTCTTCCTGCAATTTTTAATCTCTGATGGATGTTTATAGGATTTTGAGATAGGTAGCAAAACAAGGAATTAAAAAGGACTACTTAATAAGAGTTCCATAAGGGGCGCCTGGGTGGCTCAGTGGGTTAAGCCTCTGCCTTTGGCTCAGGTCATGATCTCAGGGTCCTGGGATTTAGCCCCACATCAGACTCTGCTCAGCAGAGAGCTTGCTTCCCCATCCCCTCTCTACCTGCCTCTCTGCCTACTTGTGTTCTCTCTCTCTCTCTGTCAAATAAATAAATAAAAATCTTTAAAAAAAAAAGAGTTCCATAAAATACTCAGTTCAGCCATTGCTTTACAAAAAGTTAAAAAGTTAGAGCACTACTTGTCCTAAATGCTTTTTTTCTTGTTTCTGTTTTTGTTTTTAGACCAAGCCCCCCTTAAGGTATCCCTTAAGGAATCTAAGAATATAGTTCTCTCTGTCTCAAAAACCACATTTCTTAAAACCAGATTAATCCTACCTATCCATATAGAGTTCAGCTTATCAAATCTGTGAAACCTTTCCACAGTTTCCAAGACAGATAGGCGTGATCCCTTCTGGGTTCTAACAGCAAGCTGTATCACAATCTATTACATCATTTAATATTAGCTTGTAATGTCCATACATGTTCAAAAAGAAGATAATTATGAACATAAGGGTATAAACTTAATTTCCAAATATTTACATATTTTCTTGTATTCAATATTAATTTTATTGAACCTCATATTCTTCAGTACTCAAAATTCCTAATCTTTTCTAATTAAATAGGCATCTCACTGCTTCTACCATCTTTCATTTCTCTTGCTCTGTCCTCAAATCATTATAAACTTGAGATTAAATCACAACTCCACCATAGTCCCTTGTTAATTTGCCACTCACAAATTCCTTGTTCACTTACATTTGGGACAAGTGAACTTTTTTCTTTTCTTTTCTTTTTTGCTGAAAAATATAGCAATTACTTCAATACTGCATAACATCAAAATCTCTCTTTTTTTTAAGATTTTGTTTATTTACTTGAGAGAGAGAAAGAGAGAGAGCATGAGTGGGGGTAGGGACAGAGGGAGAAGGAGAAGCAGACTTCCTGTTGAGCACAGAGCCCAACACGGGTCTGGATTCCAGGAACCTGAGATCATGACCTGAGCTGAAGGCAGATGCTTAGCCAATGAGCAACCCAGGCACCCCATAACATCAAAATCTTTTAATAAAGGATAAAAATATTTGATTTTGTAGAATTCACTCTTCATCATATCTATTTCTATGTGCTGTTTTTTTTTTTTTTTTTAAGATTTTATTTATTTACTTGACAGAGATCACAAGTAGGCAGAGAGGCAGGCAGAGAGAGAGGGGGAAGCAGGCTCCCCTCTGAGCAGAAAGCCCAATGTGGGGCTTGATCCCAGGACCCCAAGATCATGACCCAAGCTGAAAGCGAAGGCTTAACCCACTGAGTCACCCAGGTGCCCCTCTATGTGCTGTTTTAAAAATTACAAAACCAATCATTTTTTGAAGTGAAGATATCAATACTACTGCTACAGATTTAACCTAAAAATTCTTTGGGAATTTATAAAGAAACCGGATATTTCAACAAACCTTATTTTTAAAGAACTATCTTTTTCTCCCTTTCAATTTTCAAGAATCTTATTCCTTGACAATTAAAAGAAGAAAGTCCTCAAGAACTCCAGACCTTTAATTAGTATTAAAAAAATATTTAAAAGAGAAATTCTCAGATGAGCATTTGTTATATGGAATCATAGAAGTTATTTTACTAAACTTTGGACTGGGAAGCTTAACAATCACAGATTAACAACTAATACATCTCTTACAAATGTAAAATGCAAAAGACATATCTCAAATTTGTATTACGATAAAAATGTACACAGTATTGAAACATTTAAGATGTTAAATTATCTCACTATTCATAACCAAGAAAATGAGAGAACTCTAATAATATGAGATATTCTATAAAGACTCAAATATAAAGAGAATCTTTCTTTTGAGTATTTATTTTTAGAAAAATGAGCCTTATATTCACACCTATAGTGTATGGTACTTCTTAATCTGCCCATTTCACTTAGTAGACTTTGAGCCCATCTGTGGCCCCAGAGCATCTCAACAGCCCACTGACAGGTAGGAGATACTCATTGATATTGTTCGTGAGATCTAGTGAGAAGGTATTGGTCCAATTTTGTATTTCCAAGACTTAGTGTAAGCCATAGCAAATAATCAAAAGAATGATGATATAATTGAGCTGAGTATGGGCTTGAAGAATGAGCAAACATGTGGAAACATTTGGTTAAAAGGGATTCATTTTTATAGTGAATTTATGGACATCTGAGACTCTTAGCTATTAAATTTAATAGCATTTGAATAGCACCATTATACTCACTATAAATAGATTTATTCTAAGCTATTAGCTATATAGGCATATACCAAGTATTAAGTCACTCAAAATAGGTGACATCAAAAGAAAAAATATAGAGAGCTCTTAAACTGGAAAGAAAAAATAGGATTGGAGGGCATATAACACTGAAGACTGATAAAACAATGACAGCAACCTCAGTATTTCTATTTTTTCTTTAAAAATAAAATGTAATGTGACAAAATGACCAGCACCCTAGAGACAGGAAAACTACAAATGTTTGAACATGGAACTTAAGTTTGGTGTAGAGGTCATGCGAACTATGTGAAATCTCAAAAATCAGACTCTTAAATTCTAAACCCCTTTCTACCAAGTCATCCCGTCTTCCTTTTTTTTTTTTTTAATTTTCCATGTTCAATCATCCACTAAATGCAATAAATTTTGTTATAAAAATATTTTTCTAATTCATAGTCTCCTCTCTTTTCTCTTACCAGTATCTTGCATATGACCTTGAATACCTATTACTGAAAATTTTTAATAGCCTCCTTACTTCCCTGACTTCAGTCTTGCATCCATCTTTCATCTTCCTTATTTCCAATGAGGTGATGGTTCTAAAGCAAAACCTGAACCATGTCCTTTTCCTCCTTCAAATGGTTTTTATCCCTTCTTTTAGCAATGTTCTGCATGATGTTGCTGATAAACATTTAAGTCTCACCTGCTTCGGCTCCTACATGAAGAACTAAAGGTGTAAAGCTCTTCCTCAGCCCCGTGCTCTGTACTACATTTCTCTGCCTGAAACATTCTTACCTAACTTGTTTACTTTGGAACTTACTGTCTATCTTTCAAGACACAGCTCCAGAATAAGTGCTGTGAAGAATTTCCCTGAGGTCGTCATAAAAGTAGGTGCTTTTTCATCTGTGCTCTGTTCTTTCATGAGTATCGCTCTGTTATAATTATTATATATTTGGGTGTCTTCCTGTGAATATATTCATATTAGGAAACCATGTTCTGATTATCTTTGTAGCCCTACTCTCTTGCCTGGTATCTAGTGATGTTCACTGGGTGCCTGGGTGGCTCAGTCGGTTAATCATCTGCCTTTGGCTCAGGTCATGATTCCAGAGTCCTAGGATCGAGCCCCACATCATGCTCTCTGCCCAGCATAGCCTGCTTCTCCCTCTCCCTGCTGCTACTCCTGCTTGTACTCTCTCTCTCTGTCAAATAAATAAATAAAATCTTTAAAATAAATCAATAGGGGCGCCTGGGTGGCTCAGTGGGTTAAGCCGCTGCCTTCGGCTCAGGTCATGATCTCAGGGTCCTGGGATCGAGTCCCGCATCGGGCTCTCTGCTCAGCAGGGAGCCTGCTTCCCTCTCTCTCTCTCTCTCTCTCTCTCTGCCTGCCTCTCCATCTACTTGTGATCTCTCTCTGTCAAATAAAAAAAAAAAAATCTTAAAAAAAAATAATAAATAAATACTCATTAAACGAACTGTGTGCATTGTAATCATGCATCTGTGGATAATTCCTTTCTCTTTTTAGGGATGTTTTTCTATCATCTTGCTATCAAGAGCTACCAAATCTCTAAAACTTTTCCTAAAAACCATAAGATCAACAAGGAGAAGAAATAAAACTACACCCAAAACAGGCCTTCAGCATCATGACAAAGAACACCATGATCTTCAAATTACCTGTAAGTAATTAAGCCCAATTCTAACAGAGCATCTGCCACCTGCTGCCACAAACCTGAGGTACCAGAGAGCAAGGAAGAAGATGCTTAAGAAGTTCCAGGTTAAAAAAAAAAAAAAAAAAAGTAAAGTAAGGAAAGACATTAGACAACTTTAGACAAAATAACCCCCAGGGGGAGAAAAAGACGTAATTAAATGTTATAATACTGAACACATGTTGGGACATGGTAATTCCTAGCACTGGCCAAAAGAAAGGGATCTGAAAATAAGCAAGAGTGGCAGCCTCAGAGAAGCAACATTCTGGGGGAAGACTCATATATAAAGGGCGGTACTCCTTAAAGTAGTGGCAGTATAGAGAAAGAAGAAAATAAGAGGGACAGTTAGGATCCTGTGGATCCTGTGGATCCTAGACAATAGCCACACACTATCATTCATAGAAGAAACTGCATGGAATAGTAAAGGACTA